GGTGAATTAAATAAATCAAACAATTATAACCCCGCCCACAAATAAACTGCTAAAGAATTACTTTGATTACCAATTTTATCTTCTTACCCTGGTTGATACTGTTTTATGCTGTCACGTATTTGTGACAGTCGGCGCGAAAGGGTTAAATTATTAAAATGTATTAATAATATTTAGTATAACTAAATACGATTGATAAGAGTTTTTAATGCGTATCACTTTTTATGTAATGTCCATAGCTAGAAACTAAAATCTTTCCTCATGCTGCTCATATTTTATACTAGGCACGTGCAATTAATTACCGGCTGATCCAACTACACGAAATTACCACTGCGCGTTACCACAAAGACGTAGTTCATAATTGGTATTAAAAAATGTATTCAATGACCGATTTTTGAAAAATATCTAAATTAAATAATAGTATACAAATTTGAGTTTGAAAGCAAAAAAAGAAAAAAATAGTAACTAAATCACATTCATACCTGCCAACTTTTAATCTCTTAGTATTGTAAACAATACTTGATTTCTCCTTAACCAGTAACATGTAGATTAAGAATATGACTTAGGTTCGTGCTAAATTACGTATGCATTTACGCTCTTTGAACTGTTTTCATTCGAATCTTTAATTCAAAACTAAAGTTAAAAATTGTATTTTACAGATGGAGTCAGTAAAGAAAAGAGATCTGAAAGCTGGACACTCAAAACTTCAAACACAGAATCGACTGAAAGAGCTGACTTCATAAACAATTTCTCTGAACCACCTTCCCTGCAGCATATTGCAGTAGTGTCGCTTGCAATTAGGATATGTACGGCGCCTGATATAAGGAATGAACTGACGTCTTATATCTTACGCGATATCGGAGGTATAGCAGAGTTAGAGGGAAGAATATTAGGCAAATTGTTCGATAGCCCTCTGCCCTTATCCCTGAAGTCCAAAATCTCATACGTCATTCGACCCATTTTGTTGCAGTTGTTGAAAGCACTTCGTAGTTACTGTAAATGGACAAGATGGGAAAGAAATCTCTGTGAGTATTACATGAAGCGTGGTACAATTTACTGGACAGTTGAGGGGACAGTTGACATAGTGAAATCCCTTACGGAACTATTCGATAATGGAAGCTTAGAAAGCTTAGATAATTGTGATTTGTATGAGATAGCTTGCTCTCACTGTTTAGGGGAATATGCTTCAATTTTCTGGGAGAAAATTCCAGAAGATCTTAGAAACCGATTTAGAATCGCTCGATTCAGAGGAATGTACATTCATTTTCGGATAACAGATATATACAATGATGGTTTGATAATATATTGGACATGTGTCCTCGAGAATAATTTAGGGAGTTTTCTAATTAAGCTCATAGATCATGAAAACATATACGATAATAAGCTTAGTATTGATGTAAATATGATTGCTTGTTCGATACGGGTAGGTAACATAGTTGCCCTAAAGTATTTTTGGAAAAAATTATCGGAGCAGGAGAAAAACGATCATTTGAGTAAGTGGCTTTTGCAAGCTGCTCAACGTATGGGAGTTCAAAATTATTCATTTTATCAGGAATCTTCAGAAACTGTAGATGTTTTATGTTTTTTATTATCTCATGTCGATCGTATAACTCAAATGACCGAATTTTTTTTGAATTATTCTCACGTATTAGTGTGTTTTTTCGAAAGTTGGCCATATCAAAGAATATTCCTGTCCACTATTTTTGAACTATTGGATAATCTTCAAGAAAACATTTATTTATGTATAATGGAGAATATTATTTCTAAGATGAGTAAAATGGGAAATGAAATCATGATTTTTGAAAAAATATGGAGTGCCAGTCCTTTGAGACTAAGGCGATCCTTTCTGAAAATCGAAATTCTTTGCGTCAGAGTGTTGTTGCGTTTGTTGGAATTAGAAAATCTGAACATGGCTGTTACGATATTACATGATGCTTCCAATGAAGAGATTAATCTATTTATCTGCTTTATGTTTGGTCTGTCTGAATTTAAGCGTGTTATTTATTCAAACAATCTGAATTCACTCCTCCTGTTATTATCAAAATCTACCTTGCCACCAGAATGTTATCCCTATAAAATCAATCTTACAGAGCAAAGGAAGCAAGATAGACTGACAATATCGTGGCTTATTAGATTTAGCGATTGGCATATTTGTATTGAGTGGATATGCGATGGTAACATCCAAGCAGCTGAGTCCTTCTTGAGATGGGTTTATCAATCTTTGCGAATTGAAACATTTAAGAAAACAAGATCATCTCCACATGTTATCTATTTGACATTAATATTTTTGTCCAACTATGAGCGCGTGGACCAGTTTCTGAATTGGTATTTCCAGACGGGAGAGGAAATTCAACAATTTAAAGCAGACTTTTTGCGAAAATGGGATAATTATTTTTTCAAGCGATTCATAGATATGCCGTTCATTGTATCGAAAAGAGAGGGCGATGTGTTACAAAAATTTATAAACTACAACTTGTCTTCACTTGAAAACGTTGCAGAATTTCGACTTATTTGTCGTAGTTGTATAGA